AAATCATCTCCTTTTGTTTTTTCTTATAATTATTGACCAATTGTTATTTTACTAACTCTATTGGAAGATAGTTCAAAATTAAATTAACATAAGTTACTATAAGTTCAAATAATAACACGTAAGTACAATTCCTTTTTAATATTTTATTATTCTATTTTAATTTTCAAAATATTTTTGTTACTACATCAATGAAATATTCTTTATACACATGATCATTATTATTATATAACGCATACTATGCATATATAAATCTACATATCAAAAGTTTGTTTACCATACTGATTTACCGCATATTTCTGCCTTACATAGAACACAAAAAATTACTTTTTATTTATTCATTTAAAAAATAAAATTATTTCCTCAAGCAAATTTTATATTTATAACAATTTAACAATGCAAAGTAAATTTCGTTCTACAAAATAAAAATTTGAATAGAAAAATTTTAACACTATAAATAGGAGAGAGATGGGTATAAGTTTCAAATATACTATTTTTGTCTTTAGTAAAATTAAAACTTGCGTGATTAGAAAACAATTATAATAATTTCTCTACTCCCAATAGTTCTCTGTGTGTCGAAAAAATACTATCTTTGTTTTATTCGCTAATTGTATTATTCTGCAAATATTTATATTCTGTGCGAGATAATTCTTTATTGATATTTTGGAATCGAACAAAATTAAAATCTAAATCAAATAAATATACCTTGTTCATGTTGACTTACTTTCTTTTGCAATTTCTTTTTCTATGTAAAGATAACGTAATAGATAAAACGCGTGTGATTATAAAAAACAGAATTATTTTACAAAACAACAGAAAAACAGAAGATTTTAAGAGCATATATACATTTGAATGAAATTTATATAAAAACATCGCATGAAAGAAAAATAATTGGAGAATGGGGGAGAGCAATGTGTTTTAGAGCCTTGTAAGGAACAAAAACCTTTAGCGATATAATAAAAAAATATTCTAAATATAATATAAAAATATTCTTAAAATATAATTAAAAAATTTTATCAAAAATGCTCTAGTAAAAAATATTCGAAGTAATTAAAAAATATTTTAAAAGTAAATAAAGCACTATTAAAGATTATTTATAAAAGTTTGAAAAGTTTTTGAAGATAATTTCCGAGAAATTAAAAAATGGCCAATAAAAACTTTTGGGTGGGGAAAATTTGATATAATGTTTTCTCAAAAAAAGTAACTGCTTTTTCAAATCTGAATTATCATTTTTTCTCCAAGTAAAAGTTTTCAAAAGTACAAAGGGTTTGTATTGGGTTACTAGTGATGAGAGTACTATAACAAAAAAACAATATTGTCCCCCAATCCGATGAAATGCAATACTTCGTTTCAAATGTATTTAAATCATTAATTAATAATAGACACGATATTTTTAAGAACGTCTTTAATTTGTGCGGTTTAATTAAAGACAAGAGTAATAAAAGACTTGAACTAATCTGACTCGTCACTACTTCTTTAAAAAGTGTCTTTTGTGAGCAAGCGACGCGAAGAAAGCATATACATAAACAAAAGAAACTAGAAAGCTAAATCTTCATGCTTTTCTCTTTCGAAAGCCACTACCTTTAGGTTCTCGACTGAAAAAGAGTAGATTTAACTGCAATGTATTGCACAAAAACAGCTGCTCTTACACAAAAGTATTTTTTCAACAGGTGCATAATCATCTTGCTGCTAATAGCTTGGTCTTCTCGCCGACAATGGGCTATTTTACACCTTCTCTCCAGTATTCACTTTCTGAAATAGCCAAACATCTTTACTCTTATTTACAAAAGAATAGGAGAAAGCGTTTGTGTGAAGCAAGGGTTGTCCGAGAGGTCAACCTTTGGATTGACCTCTGGATGGATTTCTTTAGAGAGCTCACTCGAGTCGCTAATAATAAAACCTCCTAAACTCTGAAATAGTTTTAAGATTCGTATTGACTCAAAATACTTAAAATTTATATATTTTATAGCAAATACAATTTTTATTACTTCTCGTAATAATGCCAAAAAAATAAAAAATCTATAAGAAATTTAAAATCAAAAGTTTCTTAAAATAACCATATGCTCGTGATAAAAGAAAATATTGCGCAACGTAAAATTAAGTTAACTGTACGATACTGCAAAACAGAGCTCTCTCATAATTTCTATCAAACTTCATTGAGTAAACAAGTTTTTAGTTCGATTATAATTTTCAGAAGAAAAAAAATTTAATTTTGTTTTCAACTTGTTTGATAAAAAATCTTGTTCCTCTCTTGCTAGAAACAAATTTAATACATATTTGTAAATTTTAAATAAATATCATTAGGATATCATTAACTATTAACAATTAATTAATAAAAATGAAAAGATTATCAAGCATCAAAATTTAAAAACGCTTACATAAATGCCAATTTCGTCAATGGAATTTATGTTGGGATTATTAAAATGATTGATTTTAAAAATTTAAATTAGAACCTTATTTCTCAACCATAATTCATTAAATAAAAAGGAAATGTCACTTTAAATAAATAAATGTCATGGAACTTCAAACTGAGGTAACGTAAAACGGGACACTTACGTTTTGTGACGTTACGTTACGTTATGTTAAATGTTTTCCAGAAATAAAAAAAAATAAAGATAGTATTTGTCTTTTCTGTAGAATGCACACGTTGAGCAACAATAAAATCTATCCAGCCCATTGTGTTTCGTATGCTATCTGCGATGTCAAATCTTGTCTCAAGTATATTTTACTGGTATTAATGTCGATAAGTTAAGTTGACATTCAGATTCTTAGTACAATGAATGCGTTTTATTAGCAGTTAAAAGCTATTATGTCTTTATATGTCGAAATAATTCATAATATTGCACTTTGGATAGTGACTTGCAGCAGATATTTGGTTTTGTTTTGATCAAAACGAAAGCAGTAGGCATAAATGTGTAGCTAAATAGTTGTAGGCGATGTTTGCTCTGAGATCAGAATATCAGTGGAAGAGTTTAAGATAATTCAGGATTCATACAAACCTTAAAAAGGACGAAAATTACGCATCGTTATAAGTTTTATCAACAACTACGCCTTATAATTTCAAATAATTATACATAGTGACGAAATATGACAATTTTAATTTCAAAGTGAATACTAAGTAAAAAAGTTGTTTACTCTTTTTATTAGAACATTGACACCCCTTTTTAAGTATAATATGGACCGTATGAGCGTTGAAAGATGCAATAGCCTGATCCAAAAGCACAATGCATAATAAAGCACATAGAAAACTAATTTATAATGTTGCACTATGTTGTCATGCGGGAACTTTACGCCAAAAGTGTGTTTGGAGATATCAATGTAAGTAAAACGATACTAATTTTCTTAAGGCAAAAATAGGGCAATATATTGAACGTAGCAGAACTATTTGTTCTAGTACAAAAGAAATTAAATAAGAAAATGTACGACTTTCAAACAAATTTTCTATTAGTTTGATTTTAAAATTTAATTTCAAATAATAATAATATGATTAATAATAATATCAATAATAAAATTCCTTTCATTGATAGAATTAATAATAATGATTAAAGTAATAATTATAAAATTACTCATAACTAACAATAAATTTAATACTTTTATTTCGGATTTTCTATTTTATCCCCCCCCCCTCCAACAAAAAAATTTATACATTAAAAATGATAAGTTATGTATCTTCAAAGCTACTTCATCCTAAGTTCATTGGTGGTAACTCTTTACAGCAGTAACATTTTTTTCCTTCATTTTTCTTATTTAGAATAATGTTTTAAATACCTTTTCGAAAAAAAATTGTGAAGATGTATTTTATTAAATATTTAGATAGTAATTTAAAGGAGATATTAAAAAATTGCCCCGAACAAACTATTTTTAATTACTAATTTTCAAAAAAATATAGGAAGAATTTTGTAAACGAAATGATCTTTTTCCCAAAAATTGAAAATGGCTTTAATGTTCAATTTATTTAAACGAGTGAATTATTTGTTAATTACTCTCACGGTTTATAGTTAAACATTATTTCAATCTTGAAAAAGATATTCTTAGGCCGTGAAGGAAAATAAGATCTGAATCACTCATTTCAGTAAATGATTACTTCTTGTCAGGGACTATGCTTCTTGTGAATGTTTGTTTCTTGGCGACCATTGAAATCCACCATTACGAAAAAGATCGCAGGTTTATTTACGACAACCATGAAAATTCACTTATGTCCCCCTCTTCATGCCTGGGGGATTTCTTCACGGTTGAGTGATAGCCTCCTGGAGAGAAAAGGAGGAACTGAAGAACGATTTCAGAGTAGAAAAATGTTTCATACCCCGGAAAAAATCATTTTTTAGCAATAGTTCCTAATGTATAATTTCATATTGTTTAAATTACGTTTAAACTACGTATTTATATGTTTTTTTTAAAAAAAATTTCGTGAATTTAGCTAAAAAAGTAACTTTGTGGAAAACGCTTGAAAATTACTCTAAAATCACATTTAAACTCGTTTTAAAAATTATTAATAGAATTTTAAAATAATTTTTTACAGTAGTTATGTTTGTTTAAATGAGATCTATACATTAATATTAAACATTGAGCTGTCAGGTTGTAAATTATTGAGAAAAAGTGATTTATGTTCTCCCATAGAATAACATTGAGACGTCGATTGAAGCTGGCAACGGTGCCAACGGCCTTAAGCCATATTTCTCGACAGCATCAGACGAGACGTTGACAGGACAAAAAGCAACCCCTAGTGTAGACATCAGTGATTCTCTGGACCCTACTCCAGGAGACAAGGCCCCTGTAATACAACCCCAGACCATGACACGCTCTGGAAGGCATGTTCGCTTTAACCCTCGTTACCTCTGACATCTGTGCTTTCACCACTTGGGAGGGGGGAGTACTGTGGTGAACCACCTTCTCACCAGATGGCGATGAACTTTGCTCGCCAGATAGCAGTGCAAAACTTCTCCCTCAAGGAAATGACTTTTCTATAAGATGGCAACATCTCTTGTGTTCAAACCTTAGTTTCAAGAGTCTGGCAACAGGTCAATTTACAAACTTTCATTTCGATTAGCTGACCGCGTTTTTTGAGATTCTGCTGTCGCTAATCCTGTCTATCTTTCTACTTTGTAACTTAATATAATTTCTTTTATTTTTTATTATTATTATACTGTGTAATTTTTATTGAATTAATTTATTTAATATTTTTAACCTAATTACCACAAATATAAAGAAATTATAGAGATTAATAATTAAGCAAGAATAACAGAGAAAAATTAAGGATTGTACGTAAGTAAACATAGATTAATAATTTGAATTTTATTATGTTAATTATATATGCTGGGGTAATACAGGTAGGTTATAAAGTGGAATACAAACATAGTGAATTTGGGGTGAATTTTTCTAGGGATTTTAAAATCTGAGGTGTAGGAACCAGAAGATTTTATCTAGGTTAAAGTTGATTTTATGTTTGACAAAATCAAAGAAAGATTGAATGTGTGGGCAAATGAAGTAAGATGAATAATATCAGCTCTAGAAATCGTTGCACGTTGTAAATTAGTTAACTATTTATGCATGTAGATTAATAAACCAGTAGGCCACGAGTAGAAGTTTGTAGCGTTCAGGCATGAAAGTTTTCATCTTTTACTCTGAATTCAGCTTTTTAAGCTCCATACATTTATTAATTTCATAATGTTTGATTGCGTTGATGTAGAATTCAGCTTTTTTTGCTAACTGGTACTTTCATCCCTGCACGTTATAAACACTGACAGGCCTAGAGAATTCAGTTCAGCGGTGTCTGAAGTAGAGGGTTTTATATAACATAGCCTAGTTAAAAAGTGGGCCTGCTATTTGAAGCAGATTAATAGATAAAAAAAATATTAATTTAATACAATGTATGTTACTAAGTTTATTTAGGACTCGTAGATACTTAGGGTCTTAGAACTCTATGGTAGAGTTAACACTGCATATGTGACCATGAGCTAGTGTTTCAGTTGAATTGGGTATTATGCGTCATCTTTCCAGCTTACCGACTTTTTATTTAATTCTTCAGTGTAGATAACATGCTTATGACTCCTGTTCTGCTTATGAAAATACTCCTTACACTCAAAGAGTGTTTTTTTATAATCTTCAAAATGAATTTCCTTTTTTAATACAGCTTTTTTAATTCCTTTCAATCTATTTTATTTTCAGTTCTATAAGCATACATTTTACTTCTTAAACCAATAAATTCCAGTATGTTTTCACCATTCAATTCATTTTTCCAACAACCTTTTTATTTTTAGCTGAGTAAAGTGGGTTATACTTAGGATAATCACTTGTATCAAATAAATCAGAATGGTTTTTTATAAATTCGTAGTAATTATGATTTTTTTAGTTCAAATATGTATGCGTCAGTATCGATGTAAAGTAATTTTATATTATCTTTGAATTCATTTTTTAAAACATTATAATAGAAATCATACATTAGGGTCTTGCTTAAATCAAGTACTGCTTGACCAATATAAATTGGTTTATCAAATTTTACAGTTGTTTTATAATTATGTACAGCTACTAAATATTCACTGAATATAGTTCTTAATTTAAAATTAGGCTTATTAATTGCTTTCTGAACTTTCTTATCATCACAATATAATTTAATATTCTGTTGCTTTCTAACTGATTGCATAGATTTTCAAAATACTGAATTTGACATTAATTTCTAAAAATCTTTTTCAAAATCATTTTTCGCCTTTTGTCTTTGTTCAGTATTTAATTTAATATATGGAGCTATAAAGCCTGATTGTGCAAATTTTATACCTCTGTGAATTTTAGTAATTTTCATTCCTAAGTCTGTATGCAATTTTAATATTTTATAGTGTACAACATAATTATTTTTATCATAGAAGTGACATAGCAACTTTGATACTTTTCCACCGGGTGGTATTGCATTCTGTGGTGCAAGTGGAAGGTAGTTGAACTTATTATGAAGTTCTTTTGGAAATAATAAATCAACCTCTAAGACAAATCCAGTAGCACCATCAAAACTATTTGTACAACTGAAGCTGCTTAGCAGCGCTTCTATTTCATTAACTGTCATCCATTTGAAATGTTTTACAGGTAATTTTTGAGATAATGAATGCCCATATAAATTGTTCATATCATTATACTAAATTTGCGTCTTCTCATCGGATTTGCTATACCTATTACTCAGGGTTGTCAAGTTTTTGACGCATGGCGGTTTTTACCGCTCAGCTCAGCTCAGCTTTTTTATATCTTGTAATGTATTGTATTTTTAGTTCTTTAGCAATATTATATAACTCTGGTAGTTTAAGTTTATTTAATTTATGTAAGAGCATTTGATTTTTTCTAATGTATTCACCACATTGTTTGCATTTAATCTTCTTAATTTTTCCTTTCTTTGGTTCTGCAATTATATCCTGATCGAATGGAAACATTTTATTAATTTTCTTATTTTCTCTTTCTTTTTTCTGTTTTATATATTCTCCTATTAACTCATGTTTAGTATAACTCTTCACATATAATATACCTAGTTTTTTATCGATAGTATATAAATCTTTTAATCTATATTGATTAAAACGTTCTTCCATTTTAAGACAACCAATTTATTATAAAAAAAATTATTAAGCACCTATTCCCTTTTTATGTAAATTTGATTGCAAGTGTCTTTGATAATGCGTTTTAGTATAATATCTACCACATTCACATAGCAAACTCTTACAATTTGTATAGATTTTACATTGTTTACATCTTCTATCAGGATTTTTGTACTTATAAAATTCATCGAGATGTTTAAATTCTAAACAGACAGAACACCGAATGTCATCCATTTATTTAAGATAAGATATTTTCAATAAACCTAGTTTAGCTAAAGTTAAAATTTTATTCTCATGTTCTTTAAATTGAGAATTCATGTTCCTAATCATAATTCTTTCAAACTCATTGGTTGCAGTGTTCTCTGATCTGTATAAACATTGCACTCTTCTTTGAAATTCGTTGATTTCTGATTGTTGGGTTGAAATAACTTGATTCATTTATTTATTCTCAATATTTTTTCAATTTAGAAATTTAATACATAATAGGATTATAAATAAAATTGCATTAAATACTCGTACCTTGACATTTTGTTGTATGAAAATAAATATCACAATTCAGGGGTTTGTCCAGGCCGAATTTACTACCGTTTATCTGTACGTTCACAAATTCAATTTTAGATAAAACGGTAGTTTCACAAATTCAACTTTAGGAAAAACAATAATTTCACAAAATACTTTTTCTTAAAATTTTATTTTTGTATCCCTTAAGAAACGATAAATCTATATTTTTACCATGTTATTGTATTGATTTTTTCACAAATTATGTCTAAATTTTCATAAAATAGGTATCTTTCAGAAAAACCTAGACAGATCCGATTGCTGCAATTATTTATGTAGACTATAAAATAAACTTAGATAATCGGTAGTAATATTGGCTTATGTAAAAGCTATATATTATATTCTTAGAAATTAATGATCTCTTATTTTATTTTCCCATTTATAATATTTTTCCCTTTAGGGATATTAAATATTTGAATTTTTTCAATATCTTTAAATGTGGGACCTTTTTTACTAGTTTTCATTTCTAATAATTCATTTTTAGAATATTCATTAATGCCTTTCTTCTCAAATATAGGTTTAAAATCATCTTGAAATTTTATATCTTTTAAAGTTTTATTCATTATCTTCTTATTGTCTTTTGTTTCTATTACCATCATACTAAATAATTTGTTTATTTCGTCTATACCTCTTTCATTATTGTGTTTAGATGCTTGTTTTGTAATATTTTTTTTATATTCCTGTTCTCTGGCTAATAATTTATCAATTATTTCTTGATTTCTAAAATTGGAGTATTTATATATTTCTTTTGTAATATGTGTGTTATTTAATGCTTTAAAAAAAATTATTATCATATCTTTATATGAATCTGGAAGTCCTTTTAGGTTTTTAACACCATTATTAATAGTTTGAATATTATAACCTGATTCTTCGATTAATTTCTGTAATTCAGGTACATTTGTTATTAAATTATCTAATCCTATTAATTCACTCTCACTGGGGGTAAATAATTTAATTTGTTTTTCCATTTAGTTAGATTAATTTTTTAAACATTACCATGCCATACCATTCGGCACGGTACCATACCTCAATACCATACTATATTACCATAATTTGCTACCTTAATACTATACCAGAGCTCATTCTAGGCAGGGTAAACAGGGCGCAGCACCCTACTGCCCTTTTAGTCAAAAGAATCCACCCTGTTGCCCCTGAAGTAAATTAGTGTCCTGATGTATTAAGACTCCATACCCTTTTTGCTCTTTCTTTCCTCAACTCTTTATTTTTTCCCCAAACTCTACAGTGGATTTCTCAAACTTTTATTTTTAACTCTTTTTATTTAGTTTGTCATTGCTGTCAATACAAAGATTTATATGAGAAAGGAAAAATAGCCAACAAACCCCCTTGTTGCACTTGTCTTTGAAAGTTTGCAGTTACTTTCACTATCATTAAATCATAATTATTATTAATCATTTTAATTATTAAATCATAACTAACAAATAAGAAGCATCTCCAGGAATTGAGATAGTCTTGAAATAAGAACTATAAGCATCATTGAGGGAGGAGCAGTTCCATAGATGCTCGCCATTCACGTTTACATGTTCCTTGCATAAAATTTAATCATTAGAGTCAGTAAGTTTAATACAGTGCATGTGTGACTAAAGGTAGTCATGTCCAGTGAGAAATTGGAAGGATGAGACTCCAATAGTTCTAGGAAGTGTTTTTGGGAGACAAGATGTTAGAAGGCCCTCCCAAGATTTAAAAACAACTTGATCTCTCTTGGAGGTTTCTCGCTGGTTTTGAATTTTTTGCTTGATTTAGAGTTCGGCATTTCTCAGGTTAGTGGGTGACACAGGAGGGTCCATGAAGGATGCCCTTTTTGTGAGATTATATATGTTTTTATTTCCACATAAGACACAATAGCTGGGAATCCATTGAAGAATTATTTTCTTACCAGTAGATAGTTGAGTGTTAATAGCAGTTTCATAATTGAATTCAATGACTATAGGCTGAGGTGCATAATTTTAGATAGTGCGTATTTCAGTTTGACGATCAATGAAGAAGGCAAAAGTC